ATACTATTGAGTACAACGAGACTTTGCAAGTAAGGAAAAGATTGTCCTTATATTCTTGTTTCACAACCCCGCATTCTTGTATCATACCAATTAAAGGATTTGTTTTTAAAACTTATAAGTTACTAGAAACCTAAGAGTTTCAACAAGGAGGATGTCCTCCAAACTAGTAAGGACACAAGGTTGAATGGCAGATAAAACCTTATCTCCCAACACATTGAAGTAATATTCACCCAAAGAGTTATGAAGCGGACTATATATGCTTATACTGTGCTTCAAAACTCATTGAGTACCATTCTCATTCTTCAGCGTCCAAAGAAGGAAGTCAATGCATTTTGATTGAAATAATAAAGATGGCCTTTTGATGCTCCAATAGATCCTACATACCCCTTGCTTTGCTGATCTGGGAACTCAATGGTAGCCCAAGCATTCAAATTAGCAAGATTAGGGTTAGATTTTATGCAAATACGAATGAGGCAACCACCACCAGATATCCTATAAAAGTAGGGGCGGATGCATGTTTGATGAAGTGGTGTCACGCGATACCGCTTCATCAGAAAATTTTACTAAATATATGTATTAATATTGTAAGGAAACGGATAAGTAAGAAAAAATAACACCATTTGACATAAACTAATTGTTGGTGCCTTGGTTATGTGCTTGATTTTGCTCCAAGAGGTCGGGCGTTCGAACCTTAACTAACATACTTTTTTTTGCAAATATTTGAGAGAGTCTCTATGGTTAAAAAATGATTAAATATTAAATAGAATTGAACTCAGGACTTTTTCTAACTTAAAACTCAAATCAATAGACTAAGGTTATTTTTTGTCCAAAAATATGATAATTAAAGTTATTATTCTTATTCTTCTATAAATTTCGACACCGCTTCCCCTGCTATAAAAAAACTCCATCCAAATAGACTAAGCTCTTAAGCCACAATTCTTGAAACCGCAGGCTCAAGAGGAAGTTTGTACTCAATCCATTCTTCGTCTCAGAAGAAAAAACGTCCAGAAGCCTTATAGTGACTTTACCAACAGAGTGAACGAACGGAATAATCTTATATTTCAATGACTTACTAGGGTTAAAGACCAACAAACAGTCTACCAAGGTCGATTTTTGATGCTTTGGATTGACAGGTATATAAATAGTTTGCCTCGTAGCTGGATTACAAACTAAATACTGGGCGGGTTCGTTGTCACTTTGGGATATAAGAAGTAAACCATTGTCGCAATCTAGTAGATCCTTAGTCGTGCGTATGAAATGCAAGGGATCCAAGTAAGAACCAATAGTATCTGGTTTATTTTGCATAACATGCTGATAAAGAGACAATGGTAATGTCTGTGAGGGAAGAATTCTACAGTGGATGGCTTGGATGGGTCACTAGTAAAGCAATTATCGAAGACACCACAAATTGGGGCAGAAGGAGCTGATGGCGAAGATAATCTAGGAACACAAGCATAAGAAATCAAAAAGTACCAATCTTGGGCCACCCTTTTGCACGCAATCAGAGGTTTCTCTATTAAACGGCACAAAATCTCAACTTTGAAATCATTCGACAATTTGAACCAAATGAAGGATTCTTGTTCGCCAAAATCTTCACTCGGCTTCTCCTCTAATGCCATGGATTTGGATAGATTAATTAGTACTTGTAAGCACATAAATAGTTCGTAGGGGTTCGGGCCATGAGTATAAAAAGATTTGGTTGTTTACTTAAAAAACATAAATAGTACATATACTTAAGTACAGGGGTATACAGTCTTTTGAACTTTAAATAGTCCTTTATCCTTGAAATTTTGGCCGAAATTAAACAACTACAACAACCCAGTAAAATTCCACCAATTAAGTCTGGAAAGGGTATAACGTACGTATACCTTACCCCTACCCTAAAAGGGATAAAGAGGTCGTTTCCGGAAGACCTTGTGCTCAGAGACAATAGATCAAATCCCGCGATTGTGCAAAGGCCTTGCACCGAACTGCTTCCTACCAATTAACAAATTGCATTAATCAATTTCGACGATATCAATTAGAGGCTGTTTGGTTGGTGAAACGAGCATTTAATCACCACATACAGTTTGGTACTAAGTGGATGTTTGGATTGACTTATAAAAAGTAGCTTTTAAGCTAAAAGTTAAAAGCCATAAGTTGGTAATATCCAACTTTTGGCTTTTGACTTATTTTTATACTTTTTATGCCTAAAAGTAAGTGATTTTAAACACTTTTTATCATTGTCAAACACCACACATGCTAAAAAAGTACTTAAAAGCCAAAAAATACTTAAAATAAGCCAATCCAAACACCCTCTAACTAATACTACACTATTTTGCTTATTTGTTTTCTTTTTCCACATAATAATATATCAGTATAACTTATGTAGGAATTTATATATTATTCTATATGGAGGAAAATATGGAATAAGAAAACGAATATTAGGAATACTTGAATTAAAATAAAAAATTGATAAAATTTCCTCACACTCTTGAGATTTTTTTTTTTGCCTTAAAATATTCAGCAAGAAACAATAAAAAAAATAATCTTTGCATTATTAAATTACTAATGCATACACTAGTAATCCTTGCGTTGTCTATCCTTGCATAACCTATCTTCGAACCAAATGACCCCTTGTAGTATTATTCAAATATTTGAGTATTTGAAAGTATCATTGGCTATTTATAGAAAAAGGAAATAAGAACAGTTAAAAAACGTAATTGAACAAGAGCAAACTATTAAAAAAAATTTCCACCACGTAATATCACACCTCTAATTTAGACTAGGAAAACTACAGCTAACAAGGTGTCAAGAACCACATATACGTCAATTTATTACGCCTTCTCGTCGCCTATATTATCTTATGCACCAACGGGTGTTCCCAATTCTGAACATCTTAAGCTACGTATCTTGGGGTAAAATAAATAATCCCGTCCAGAAATAATATCCACAACAAATAATAATAACACAAGAGAGTAACAATGACACCAAATATTTTAGCGGGATAAAGTACAATATTCGAGTGTAGCAATATTACCACTATAATATTACAATTCAGTAGAGAGACTACTACAACTTTGAAAGAAATAACACTCTTTATATAAAACACCTCACTATAATATTACTACTACTCACTAGTTATCTCACAGACAATAATCTGTTGATTACTCTCTCTAACTTCTATTGTTTCTCTCTTATTTTGGTGTGTTTTAAAGGAAAAATGAAGCATGCTATTTATAGGCACATTTTCACCAACCAAACCAATTTGATTGGTTAATCAATGTGCAAATTCAAGCAGCCCAATCTTGAAAAAATATGAATTTCTTTTTTTCTTCCGTCCATCCTCCTCTTCCTTTTATTCAATGTAGTTGGTGAGTCAATCACTCCTCTTTCTTTTTCTTTTATTCAATGTAATAGGTATGGATTCCACAATGTATGTGACACTCTATTGATCCATATGTACGCACTCTCTCTCCCTCAAATTTCACTTGGCCAAGTTTACTATCTTGACTTCTCCCAATCTGATTTTATGTGATAGTGTTCGAGTGATTGCGAATTCAAAATAGAAAGAATTTTTTCTTATATACTCTCTTAGCTGCAATCAAAAGTAAGTGTCGTTTCAACCAAACTAACTTTGTCCAAAAAAAAAAATAACGCTCCATTAAATAAAATAAAAAGGCAGTAGCTATCTTTTCCTAATCTAATCTTTGCTTCAGTAAATGATTTAATTTTTTTGAGGAGAGATAAATGATAATTTGAGAGATTTAAAGGGAGTATCAAAAATACCCTCAAACCTTATAATCATAAATATGTCGTGACATTTCGGTGACTATAAATGTATGTAAATAAGGGTAAAATGAGAAATTTAAAATTAATAATTGTACATTTTTTTTGAAGAAACAGAAAATAAAAGAGATATAAAATGAAACTTAAGGACGTAATCAGTACATGCTTCAAATGACTTCAAAAAGAGCGAAAAAGAAATATAAGTATTCTGTGTTTACAGTTGACAATCTTTAATTTTCAGTTAAAGTTCTAATATAAATGTATAGCTCTAGTATGCTGATATTAATTACTACAATGAAAAAATTGCAGGTGATAAGAACATTTGGAAAGGGGAAGGTACTTCAATCTAAAGACGCCAAGTTTTCAGAGGGAGATATATTACTCAGTGACGAACGCAAAACATAACACGAAAATTAATGCTTGTAAGCCAAAGATAATATAGTAAAATTATCGTCTCCACAGTGATTGAATATAAACAATGTTCGAGTAAAGTCTGGCTTATTTGTTATTCAGGATGGACAACACTTGATTTCGAGTGATTACTGTAAGCATAAACTTTAATTCATACCAGGGTTGAACATGATAATCTTACATAAATCGTCATAGAAAATATACCTGAAGCGGAAACGTTAATTGAAATTAGTTTCTCGCCCCTTGCCCTAGCTTTACGTTACCGCCGACTTTAGTGATGGAAGAGAGAAAATAGAATACAGTAACCCTAATGGGTGGGGAGAGGACCAATTTATAGAGGTTCTCACTTAATCTGGTACGTCCATAAAGCAACCATTTGGACGGATGAGATTTGATAATTAATTAAATATTATTATGGGCCTTAACCTATTGGGCCACATACAAGTAGGAAAAATTTACATTCTCCCACTTGGCCCAATAATCATATAATATTAATATTTAATATAGGAACATTAGTTGCGCATAAACAAATCTCTTCTATAATGCCATCATAAATACCATAATACGATAACTACTAAATGTGAGTTATGGCGGTTATATATAATATGTCTACATACTCCCTTCCACATACTACAACATTAGCAATTCATTGTACCAGGCCATAAGCTATAAAATATTATGGTCCACAATAATGTCTTATTGAGACTTATCCTGTAATATCTCAAAACAATAATTTGTACACCATTATGAGAAACAGGAAATCACTAATGTATATCAGAAATATATAAATGAGCTCAGAGTGTCAAAACATCATAAATACATCAGTCATAAATACAGTCAATACCCATTCTATGTACATGTTCCTTAAATATCTTCGGCTGTAAACCTTTTGTTAATGGATCTGCAATCATGAGATCAGTTGTAATATGCTCAAGCGACACTCTTTGTTTCTGAACTTCCTCCTTGACGGTAAAGTACTTTAATTCCATATGTTTGGCACCTTTGGAGTACTTATCGTTCTTGGAGAAGAATACTGCTGCAGAATTATCACAGTAAATTTTCAGCGGCTTGCTAATGGTGTCGACAACCCCAAGTCCTGAAATAAAATTTTGCAGCCATAATGCATGAATTGTGGCTTCAAAACATGCCACGAATTCTGCTTCCATCGTGGATGTAGCAATAACAAACTGTTTGGCACTTTTCCACGATATTGCTCCTTCAGCTTATTAGAACAAATAACCAAACGTGGATTTTCTAGTGTCAATACATCCAGCGAAATCTGAATCCGAGTATCCAACAACTTACAAATGCTTGGACCTCCTATGAATGAACATGTGATCCTTCGTTCCTTTCAGGTACCTCAAAACTTTCTTTGCAGCTTTCCAGTGATCAGTTCCTGGGTTACTCTGATATCTTTCTAGCATTCCGACCGCAAAACTAATATCCAGTCTTGTGCAAGTCTGAGCATACATCAGACTACCAACAACTGAAGAGTAACGAATTATTTCCATTTCCTTTCGGTCTACATCATTCTTAGGGCATTGCATGAGACTAAATTTGTCCCCTTTTTGAATTGGAACAATTCCTGCGAAATAATTGTTCATATTAAATCTCTCTAGAATTCTTTCGATATAGTCTTTTCGAGACAATCCCAATAATCCTTGTGATCTATCACGGAATATTTCTATTCCTATCACATAGGATGCCTCACCCATATCTTTCATTTCAAAATTCTTAGAGAGAAAATCTTTAGTCTCATGCAATATGCCTAAATCATTAGCAGCAAGTAGAATATCATCAACATATAGGACTAAAAATATAAACATGCTCCCACTGATCTTTTGATATATACACCGATCAACGGTATTTTCCACAAATCCAAAAGATGCTATGGTATCATTAAACTTTATATACCATTGTCGTGAGGCTTGTTTAAGTCCATATATTGACTTCTTCAGTTTACACACCATTTGACTTTTTCCTTTAGTTTTGAAACCCTCTGGTTGGTCCATATAAACTTCCTCCTCGAGATCTCCATTAAGAAAAGCAATTTTCACATCCATTTGGTGTAACTCTAAATCATAATGAGCCACAAAAGTCATAATAATTCTTAACGAGTCTTTCTTTGAGACCGGCGAAAAGGTCTCTTTATAATCAATGCCTCCTTTCTGAGTATAACCCTTGGCAACAAGTCTGGCTTTGTATCTCTCAATATTTCCATTTGAATCGCGTTTGGTCTTAAAGACCCATCTACACCCGATTCTTTTAGAACTTTCTGGCAATTCAACAAGATCTCAGGCTTTATTATATTCCATGGATTTTACTCTTCCTTCATGGCATCAATCCATTTGTCAGACTCATTACTTTCTATGGCTTGTGAAAATGAAACGGATCCTTATTAAGACCAATGTCAAAACTAACTCTTGCAAATAAACCACATAATCATATGAAATAGCCAATTTTCTAACTCTTTGAGATTTTCTTAATGGCATTTCTTGTGGTTCATTTGTGTCAGATATTTGTGAGTTAGTTTCTTCATGAAGTGTTTCATCCAAATATTGCTCGGTGTTGTCAAAGTGTTCTTCAACAACTAGAACAATATTTGGTATTTGTGTGGAAGTAGGTATCACACCTCCTTTTTACCTACACCCCGAAAAGGGGTATATAAGGGAGTTTTTCCAATTTAAGTGACAATCGAAACGGGATTAATTATTTCAATTAAAATTCAGAGTCGCCACATGGGATAATTTATGGCGTTTCAAGTCACCGGTTAAAATCCCGAATCGAGGAAGTTGACTCTTATTTAATGGTCTGCGAACACAGCAATCCGGGTAAGGAATTCTGTTAACCCGGGAGAAGGTGTTAGGCATTCTCGAGTTCCGTGGTTCCAGCACAGTCGTTTAGTGATTTATACTTGGCTAAAATTGTGCAATTACTCATTTTAAAACCTAGGTGCATTTACCTTTTACCGTTTTTAAATTAAGAAAATTATCTTGAAACGAGTCACGCGTACGTGTACCCATTTATTTGACGCATTAAAAATCATGCCACACAAACGTGTCCACAATTAATAACGCTTTTATTATTATTAAGAACCTTTGGCCGAAGTTGCGCGAACGCATACTCCGGTTTTGTTTTTAGAAATCACAATCATTTCACGCGAACGTGTCCACAACCACGATAGTATATTGGATGTGCCTAAAGTAAACTACAAACGTTTGTCATTTTTGTATCTAAATCATAAGAACTTAATACGAGGACCATACATGATTTAATTGTGGATGGCACACCTCGATTAATTGAAAGTAATTAATCGGTTAACCATTAAAGGTAACTGAATTCTACCTTATGCTAATGTCTGAACTAATTAATAGAAGAAAATTTCAGGCCATCAACACCCTGCAGAAGATGAGTAAAATTGAGCCCAAATTACAAGAGTGTAAGGCTACACCTGCCCGTGTTTCCTTTGCTGGGCTCGAAAAATGTCCAATCATGACGAGAACAGAAGGCCCAAAACAATTCAGGGCTATGCATTCATGCCTGGGGTTTATCCCGCTACTTGTTCCAGTTTTGGACCCAAATTTTCATAAGCCAACAATTGCATATAATTCATTGGAAACCAGTCAACTAAATTATATGGAACACACGATTATACAAACATTCCAACCTCTGAATTCTTGATTATTTAAAGGTAGTGCAATTAAACTGAATTTCTGATTTATTAACATACTTTGGGTCCAAATCTATTTCAAATTCACATGGCCGTATCACTTAGATAAATAAGCTTTGGGTCTAAAGAGCCCAGTTCTGCTTTCAAGGTCGATTGCTGGAGATGGGGACTCATGATCGAGTCCCTTCGGGGGAATACAACGGGTATTTGGGCTCCAAACCCCACACTTCCAAACTTCAGAGTTCAAGAACTCATCACCCCTGGACTAAGCGTGTAGAGGCCTCAAGTAAGACCAATACACAATTTAACTTTTTAAACAAATTAATCTAACAATGAACTTTAAACTATGTCTCAGATATCAAATTATTCCTAACATGGATCTGCAAATCACTACGACCAATCCTCATACAGGCTAAATATCTCATCTTTGCAGATTTCAAAGTCATGCAACTCAACAAACATTAGGCCTTCCTAATCACAGTTCATGCACAACAAACACCAAAATCAAACCCAAATTAAACATGACTAACCTACGATTTGCTTTATATTACAAACCAAGTTCACAACCAATCAGTGAATAAGTTTGAATATAACAGGGTAATCGGATTAACTACATGAATAGGTGATTAGCAAGACATGACATTCAGTAAATGAGATGCTCTGTATTTCAACTTCAATCAATCATATTGTATTCCTCCATTTCACATATCAAGGGTGTGAGGGATACCTGGAAATGAGAAAAGAAACAGAACAAGGAGGGATTAGTGGATAGCATCACCAAAAGAAAATGAAATTCAGCAGCTTAATCACAGCAGACCCAGCTTTCTCAGACCATTTCAAACCCAGCAAAATCAGAATTACTTCAAGCTTTCAGTAAAACCCCAAAACGCACAACTTCAAAGAAACAATACTTTTTGGTGCTTTTTCTTCTGATTTCTTCAAACTTTTCTGTTTTCTCTTTTTTGTAACCCAATGTAGTTTTCCAGATTTTTTCAATCTTTTCGTTTTTCTAGTCTCTGAAACTCTTTCTTTTTCCCCCTGGAACCCCAAGTAACTATGCCTTTATAGGCAAGTTACTAGGGCAGCCTTAAGGGTTCAGTTTTTTCATTTTAGTCCTTTTTAAATTTTCCTTTTTGCTTCTTAGTCCTTTAATTACTAACTTGTTAGTCAAGTTAGTCTGTTTTTTTCAGCTTCTAGGTAGCTTCTTAGGTGGTTATAGCAAGATTCCCTTAAGTGACTTACCCAATTTACCCCTATTACCCCTGTATTTTGCCTTGAAGCCCAGCCAGACTTGAACATGGGCTTTGAATCCCCGAACAGGCTCAATGATTAAATAGACATGGGCTCAGACTCAAACCAAATAGAATTCCTTTAACATGAGGTCTTAGACTGACCCCAGAGCCCAAATATGAAACCCAAACAATTCAGAAGACTTAAAAACCAAACAAATCAACTAAATAACGATCACAAATAGGTGGGGAACTAATTAAGCTCAGTGACCAAACAAAAAATTCTAACAGGATAGTTAATAAATCGGAAAACAAATTAAAAGAGGAAAGGAACAGAGGTGGCACATAGACGATTTTCAAAACAAAGATGAACGGGACTTACCAGCTAGACTTGAAATCAAAAACTGAGGCACTGATTCGACCCAACACAGTGGAAACATTTGTTCTTGGTGAGGAACAAATGAGTGTCACTATTTTGTGTCAAAACTGACTTGAAATAACCGGAAAAATCCTGAAAATGCTTGCATGCATGATTCTGACCTTAGACTCTCATGGCTCGACTCTTCGATTTGATATTCGAGGAGTTCCAGAGATGTTTGAAGAAATCTGAGTGAGGATTTGGGATGAGGGAGAGAGGACGGTCCTAGGGTGTTAATTTGTGGTTGAACAGAGGTGGCGCCGCCACCGGAGAGAACAAGGGCGGCGATAGGGTTTCGATCTTTGATCTGAAATTCGAGTAGTTCTGGAAGGATTTGAGAGGAGTTGTTTGGGGATTTGGGATGTGGAGGCGGAGAAGAGTGTGGGGTGTTAATGTCAGTGTGATTGGTGGTGGCGCCGCCACCGGAAGTAATAAGGATTTTGGGGCGGCGGATTAGGGTTAGGCAATTCTCCGATGGTGAAGGAGATGAAGTGAGATGGAATGAAGGGGTAGGGGGTCGGTCGGACAATTATAAGTAATTTGGGGCTCAGTTCCGAACTGTATGATTAAACGGGGTTGTTTGGTTTATTGGTGGGGCGGACCAGGTTGGACCCGGGTTTTGGGACGGGTTTGGGACAATTTTAACGGGTAATGGGCGTTTAACACTTGGGCCTAGGGAAAATTCAATTGTAACAGCCCAAAATCGGATTTTCTTTTATTTCTTTTCTTTTTCTTTTTCAATTTCAAATTCTTTTCTTTTTAAATTAAAAGAAAACCTAAATTAATTTTTTTAAACTAAATTAACCTACCAAGTTAGATTAATCACTCATCATGGTATTTACAATAATTAATTAAATCCTAAATTTAAAGAAAAACTATACAATTCAAAATTAAAGAGTTAAAATGCAAAATGAACTATTTTTGTGATTTTCATATTTTATAAAACAAACTAATTTACTAATTAATCTAAAAAATATAAAATTAAATCCTAAATGCAGTGCGTGATATTTTTGTATTTTCATGAATAAAATAAAATAAATGTGCACAGACAAATGCAAATAATTAACAGAAAATGCCACAAAATCCAATAAAATTGCAAACACTAAAAGAAATTATTTTGTTTTGAATTTGTTGGAAAATTCATATAGGGCAAAAATCACGTGCTCACAGTAGACACATTTTTGGGTAATAGAATATTGACCCTCACCTCTTTAATTTCCACACTTTGCTTTTCAACACTCCCACTAACTTCACCATTCTCAATGAATCTTGTATTACCGGTTTCAACAATTCTCGAACTATGGTTTGGACAGTAAAATACATACCCTTTAGATTTCTCTGAGTAACCAATAAAGTAACCACTTACCGTTCGAGAATCTAATCTCTTTTCTTGTGGAT